TATCAGATCAAGCATAGCTGGTTCATCTTCCCCTCTCATTCTTGTCGGTCCCTTGATGTGTTGGCTTAGAAAGTTTCTTGTTGCCGCGTCCAGCAGCTTAGCTCTCCATGTATCTGGTCCTCCATGTGGGTCTCTGTTCTCCCAATCTATCTTCCCGTGGTTGAAGTCCCCCATGATTAGTAGTCCAGATCCATTCCTACTAGCGAGAGACGCTGTTCTCTCTATTATGTTAATGGTGGCCATGTTGTTTCTATCATATTCCTGTCTGGGTCTTCTGTCATTTGGTGGCGGGTTATATATGACTGCGACTATAATTTTTTGTCCTCCAGTTGCTATGGTACCTGTTATGTAGTCACTGAAACCTTCACAGCCCTGAATAACCATCTCCTCAAAATCCCAGCCTTTTCTTACCAGCAGAGCTACACCACCACCTCCTCTTCCTTCTCTCTCTTTCCTCACAACACAGTAGTCCTGTGGAAACACTGCATTTGTTATGGTTTTCGTTAGCTTTGTTTCTGTGAGTGCTATTATGTCTGGGTTTTCTTCAAGTACCCATTCTCCAAGTTCATTTGTTTTATTTGTAATCCCATCTATGTTAGTGTACATTGCCTTGAGACTCACTTTCTTCTGTCCCTTCTCATGTTCCCTTCTTGGTGAGCGTTCTGCTGATGGGGGAAGCTGTTCCATGGGCGTGAGGATTTGTGGGGTGGGTAACGGGGTCTCAGAGGATACTGGAGTGAGGGGTGGGGGGTCAAGTGAAGGGGGGACAGGGAGGGTATGGGATGAAGGGGGAGGGAGGACAGTGGGGGAAAGGGGGGGGGGGGACATGGTGGGAGTAGGGGAGGGGTAGCAGGGTGGGAGTGGGGTGAGGGGGGAGGGAGAGTTGGCTGAACATTTGAGTGGGGGCAGGGAGGGTTTGGGGGTAGGGGAGGTTTCTATGCAGAGGAGGGTGGTGGAGTTGCCCTCCCCTCTGGTGTTACTGGGTTGCTGGTTGTGGGTTCCCCCCTCACCCCTGGGGATGTTGTGTTGGGAGCTGTGTTTTCCTGGTTTTCTCCTCTCGCCCTGCGCTTCTTCCTTGCTTCTGCAGCCATGGCTCTCTCCTCCCTCGTCATGTCCCTCTGGAGGAATACTTTTTTTAATTCTCCCACATATTGCAGGTGGCTCTTCCTTGTTAGAATCTTCTCCTTTGTGGTCTCGTTTGCAAACACTAGTGTGTGTGTGTACTCACCTAGTTGTACTCACCTAGTTGTGTTTGCGGGGGTTGAGCTCTGGCTCTTTGGTCCCGCCTCTCAACCGTCAATCAACAGGTGTACAGATTCCTGAGCCTACCTGGGCTCTATCATATCTACACTTGAAACTGTGTATGGAGTCAGCCTCCACCACATCACTTCCTAATGCATTCCATTTGTCAACTACTCTGACACTAAAAAAGTTCTTTCTAATATCTCTGTGGCTCATTTGGGCACTCAGTTTCCACCTGTGTCCCCTTGTGCGTGTTCCCCTTGTGTTAAATAGACTGTCTTTATCTACCCTATCAATCCCCTTCAGAATCTTGAATGTGGTGATCATGTCCCCCCTAACTCTTCTGTCTTCCAGCGAAGTGAGGTTTAATTCCCGTAGTCTCTCCTCGTAGCTCATACCTCTCAGCTCGGGTACTAGTCTGGTGGCAAACCGTGTGTGTGTGTGTGTGTGTGTGTGTGTGTGTGTGTGTGTGTGTGAGACAAATAAGAATCTCAAATCAAAGAGAATAACAAATCTCTCTTCTCTCTCTCTCTCTCTCTCTCTCTCTCTCTCTCTCTCTCTCTCCCTCCCTCCCACTCTCTTTCTCCCTCCCCCTCTCCCTCCCTCCCCTCCCTCTCTCTCCCTCTCCCTCTCTCTCTCTCTCGGTCCCTCCCTCTCTCTCTCTCCGTCCCTCTCTCTCTCTCTCTCTCCATCTCTCCCTCTCCCTCTCTCTCCCTCTCCCTCTCTCTCCCTCTCCCTCTCCCTCTCCCTCTCTCTCTCTCTCTCTCTCTCTCTCTCTCTCTCTCTCTCTCTCTCTCTCTCTCTCTCTCTCTCTCTCTCTCTCCCTCTCTCTCTCCCTCTCTCTCTCCCTCTCTCTCTCTCTCTCTCTCTCCCTCTCTCTCTCCCTCTCTCTCTCTCTCTCTCTCTCTCTCCCTCTCTAGATGATTAACAATGCACAAGCAACAGGGCTCCATTAAGGAACATATAATCTCCTCACACAACCAGACCATCACCAGAGAAATCTTAACAAGCAACACTGAAGTAATCGACAGGTTTGATGTCAGACATTTAGCTTCAGAGCTATGGGATGCTGCACAATTTACAGACCCAAAGGGTATCTTCTCGAGGTTATCTTGAGATGATTACGGGGCTTTAGTGTCCCCGCGACCCGGTCCTCGACCAGGCCTCCACCCCCAGGAAGCAGCCTGTGACAGCTGACTAGCACCCAGGTACCTATTTTACTGCTAGGTAACAGGGGCATAGGGTGAAAGAAACTCTGCCCATTGTTTCTCGCCGGTGCCCGGGATTGAACCCGGGACCACAGGATCACAAGTCCAGTGTGCTGTCTACTCGGCTGACCGGCTCCTTGCCGGGTACCATGCAAAATGGTTACAGACGCATGGGGTCCTGCACAATTTAGTTACATATGCATGGGGTCCTGCACAATTTAGTTACATATGCATGGGGTCCTGCACAATTTAATTACAGACCTATGGGGTGCTTTACAATTTAGTTACAATCCATAATATGCCAGAATATTCTACATGAAGTTCATTAAGTCACTAGTCGACTATCATGCACCTAAACTTTATTAATCTCCCCAACAATACACTGAAAGCTTTTGAGAAAATTCAAAATGAAGGCATGAGGATAATTCTTGAGCCTCCAGATGCACAAGAATCATCAACATGAGGGAGAAGCTGAAACTCCCATCCATATGTGAAAAAATTGAGCAGCTCACTACTACCTTCTGTGTAGGGGGGATGATATCCAACATCACCCATACTCCTTAGAGAGAAACCGACTGGTGCTGTTTGTAGGTGGGAAAGTGTTGCGAATACATTAGCAGGCATTCTATATGCAAGCTGGTTGAGTAGAATTGTTGCCAATCTCATTAAACTGAATATTCCTGTTGTATGCAATGAACTAGCTAATGATATTCCATTACATCTCTACCCTGAAATACGAGTGTCTTAGACACCCATCAGCAAAAAGAGTAAGGAAAACTCAACACTCTTCAAAGCAACAACACTTGAAACTATTAATTCCTTTTTAAATAATTTATGACCTCACAAGCAATATGCTTACACTGATGGGTCTGTTCAAATGACTGCAGGTCAGGCTGCAGCAGCCTGTAGAATATATGAAGACAACATATGTTGTCAATGTTTAAAGGATCCCGGTAGTACAGTTGGGTTCCTTCTCGACTTACAATCGAGAATTCCTGGTTTGAATTCCGGGCGGGACAGAAATGGTTAGGCACATTTCCTATCACCTAATACACCTGTTCACCTAGCAGTAAATAGGTACCCAGGAGTTGGTGAGCTTGTTGTGGGGTTGCATCGTAGGTGGGGTCAGAAATTAAACGTTGGGGGAAAGGGACCTCGATGTAATCCTGACATGTACAGTGTGTATAAACTAGCTGCCTGTCTCCCAACACAATGAATTATTATTATTAATGTACACAGACCATAAGTGTGAGACTGAATAACTGGCTTAACTTCACACATCCAGAATTAGCTGCACTACAACTTGCCACTAACACACTGAAGAACAGGGGGAGGAGTAACTTTCTCTGATTCAAAGTCAATTCTTCAAGCACTTTAAAACCCAACATGCAAAATAGATACTAGGAATGTTATATCATCCAATATAAACACCACCATTAATACACAGAGCAAGAGTTTTAGTCTCATTTGTATGGATACTGTCTCACATAGGTCTTGTCCAGCATGATGACAAAGACAAGGCAGCTAAAACTGCAAGTATAAGCCTGAAATTAAGTTCGACATCGGCATTCTAATCTCTGCTGTAAAAACCACTGTATTTTAGGAAATTAGGAATGACAGAAGAGCAGTCACTGACACTCAAGGGCCAGAAAGCACAAGTATAAAGAGCTATGACATGTTTAGACCCGAGAACTATATGTACGGGCAGCATAAATCATCCACTAGACAGTGTGACATTGTAATTGGCAGAATTAGGCTGGGATATCAATATCTATGGCAGGTGGCTGCAGGTAATGAATCCCAACACTTAAAAGACTATGGAGGATCAGTTACTGACACTCAAAGGCCAAAAAGGATGAGTATAAAACGCTATGACATGTTTAGAACCGAGAATCTTATGTATGGGCAGCATGAAACATCCACTAGACAGTGTGACTGTAATTGTCAGAATTAAGCTGTATTCCAACTGTAAACTGTGAACATGAGCTGGGACATACTCTCCAACACTATGAACAAATCCACAAGGGCCACATCCAACACTATATGTGATTACCCTGTTATCAGTGATTTCAGACCAAATGGTATGAGGTACTTTGAGCTCTGTAACTATTTCAAACTCACGAATATTGAAAGATATCCTTGTACTCTACCCAGAGTGTGCTAGTGAAGGCTAATGGATCAGCCTCGCATTTGATGTTCTCCTGATTTCAAGTATGACTAACATATCCTGTGAGATTGGGATATTAGATGAACTAATAGCTAGGATGTTATTTACACTTTGTAATCCTTCATATAGAATAGGGTAGCAATACACTGCTGTGTTTACCTAAGCTTGACACTAAGAAAATAATCGAGCTGTCGCAGTTTGCATCGATTCTACTTCTCTTCCCAGGGCGGGTGACATCCATAAACATCAGGCTGGCAAATGAATACAGAACTCAACCACAAACTCAACAATCGTAGCTCCATTAAAATAGAGTTTGAACTAAAAGAGATGTATGCTAAATAGCTACAGAACCTGCCAGACAAGAGAATAAGGCAAGACATTACCTGTCGGAAGTCGGGCGAGCAACGTCCATCACAGGATGTAAACACAACCACTGCGGTGTCCGAATGCATCCCCGTCGACTTCCACTTCCATCCGCCCCTTCAATATACTTCTTTACGAACTACGACACACATTTAAACACCAGCCGCATTTATATTAATTAAATAATATATTTATATTTTTAAATGTTTAAAAACTGATTTACAGTTGACTTAAATTATGCATTTAATTTAACAATATTGCATACGGATGAGTAATAGATTGTCAATACAGTACTAACTCGATTGTAATCAAAAGGCCTTATACAGATATTTTACATTTAACTGAGGGTCACTAATACTAGTGGCCTCGACGAGGGCAGGACGCCGGCGGTTTGTCAAAGTCCCCTCCATTTGCCCTGATGATCTTCTCCAGCTGTATTTTAATTAAAACCCAGAAGAGATTTGGCGTTTACTATTCAGCGGGTAGGCGGTTCCATGGGTTTACCTGAATTTACCTGAGGGCCACTATGGCCTCGACGAGGACAGGAAGCTGGCGGCTTGTCAAAGGTCCCCCCATTTGCCCTGATGATCTTTTCTATCTTTGAATTTTCAATCTGAATTTGAATTTTTTGCATTGTTTTTGTATATTTTTCTTATATCTAGATTTTTATATAATTGCCTTTTTTACCGTTAAACAGTCCTCTTATGCAAACTAGTATAGACCCAGAACTAAACCTCTTATTTAGCATCTATGACAATCATCGCTTTAATTATCAAAATTGCAGGTATTAAATACAAATACAAATATTTATTCAGGTAAAGTACACACATACAAGGTGAAATACAAAAGTTGATGGAGTTATAGATAGATCTAGTACATACAATGCCTAAAACCACTATTACACAAAGCGTTTCGGGCAGGAAAAACACTAAGACTAAAACTTAATACTAACTTAAATTAGAGTATAAATTGTGTTGAGAAAAAATCAGAAAAAAAAGGGGGGGAAACATGGCAGAAAAAAGCAAAAATACAATTTGGTCAACAAACAGCATTGTTTAAAATCGTAGACATGGGTTGACATTTAGGGGTGAGGTAGGTTACATGGAGTTAATTAGGTAGTACTTAGTTTTTATCTTAAACTGGTTGAGAGAGGTACAGTCTTTAACATGGTTGGGAAGGTCATTCTACATTCTGGGTCCCTTGATTTGTAAAGCATTTCTAGTTTGACTAAGTCGTACTCTTGGAATATGAAATAGGTATTTGTTTCTGGTATAGTGCTCATGGGAATTATACAGCAATGTATATAGTATTATACAGCAATGGTCGATGGCTTATATTTTGAGTGGAGAGTCCGTATAAACAACTGGGCCTCTACCCTTCAGACTGAACTATTTGCCTTGCTCCTTGCACTGAAATGTGTACAAGTCTCCAAACTTGATACATTAATTGTAAGTGACTCTTTATCATCCTTAAATGCTCTCAACTCTTTAAGACATAACTGTAACATGCTCGTGCCCGAAGCTAGACACAAATACAACAAAATAATTAAATGATGGTAACAGAGACCATTACATGTGGTCTCCATCTCATGTTGGCCTCCGAATGCATGATAGAGCTAATAAGTTAGTCAAAGAATCTGCCTTTAAAGGAGCCGTTGAGTGTAACCTTGGGTTGTCAATAAGCAGTCTGAGGCCAATAGTAACCAAGAACTTCAACAAGATCTTATAGATCTGAGGCAAAGTGAAATTGACACCAGTAATTCCATCTATCATCATACTATCATGCAAGAGGAGCCACACATCTATGGTTCATCCAATATAATCAGCAGACTTCTAGATGTTACTACTGCTCGGCCTAGACTCGGTTACAAGTATCTCTGGGAATTCTCATTATCTGCTGATGTAGACCTGACCAAATGTAAACTGTGTCAACAAAATTATTCGCACACCCTCCGTCACTATGTGATGGTGTGCGAAAAAATACGTGAATTCAGAGACAATTCTATAACAAATGTTCAAGAGATGTGTAAATATTTCATTCAAAATGATCTGCTACCAGAAATTTTAGCCAAATATCCCCAGTTTGCTAACTGTAGGTAGTAACTAAGTGATTGTAACCTATCAACCGCTGCCCACTGGATGAGGGGTGATAATTGCTCCAGCCGGCTACCAAACTCACCATCTGTTAATTACGAAGTGAACAAGGGGACCGGTGCCAGACCTAAGACTCCTGCCATCACCCCAGCTCCCCCACAAGCACCAGGTGCTGGACCTTCTGCCAGTGGTGGGCCTGCCCCTGGTGTAGAGTGGCCACTCCCTGGTTCTGCCAGTGGTGGGCCTGCCCCTGATGTAGAGTGGCCACTCCCCGGTTCTGCCAGTGGTGGGCCTGCCCCTGATGTAGAGTGGCCACTCCCCGGTTCTGCCAGTGGTGGGCCTGCCCCCTGATGTAGAGTGGCCACTCCCTGGTTCTGCCAGTGGTGGACCTGCCCCTGATGTAGAGTGGCTACTCCCTGGTTCTGCCAGTGGTGGACCTGCCCCTGATGTAGAGTGGCCACTCCCTGGTTCTGCCAGTGGTGGACCTGCCCCTGATGTAGAGTGGCCACTCCCTGGTTCTGCCAGTGGTGGGCCTGCCCCTGATGTAGAGTGGCCACTCCCTGGTTCTGCCAGTGGTGGACCTGCCCCTGGTGTAGAGTGGCCACTCCCTGGTTCTGCCAGTGGTGGACCTGCCCCTGATGTAGAGTGGCTACTCCCCGGTTCTGGGATAATGTCACCTACTGTGAGGGGGACCTCCCACAGCTGGGCCCCACAGTCAACTGGAAGTGGGGGATAAGGAACTGGATCAAAATGAGACAGATCGCAACCTCAGCCTCCCTACCACCTCGCCCTTGGGTTGCTCCACTGTTCAAGCAGTGGTTGCCCTTCGTGACCGGTTGCAGGAACACCAGCAGCAGTCACAGCAGCAGACGGAGCGGCTACAAGAGCAACTCCAACATGAGAAAAAATCCACCAGCGATATTTCGATGATGCTCACGCGTATGAGGGGACTTGTAAGCAATGACTGCCAAACTCCCCCTTCCACCCCTGAACCCTCCAAACATGTGTTCGCTTGCCTATCAGGGGAAACTTCTAGTGATCTTGAAATCTTGTGTAGTGGAGCCCTTCCACACAAGTTAACTGCCAAAGTTGTGTTAAGGTATGTTCAAAACGACTCTATAGCTGGAAATGACCGACAAATTGTACTAAAGAATTGGAGGCAAATGTGTTCCTTTGGTAATATGCTAAGAAATATTCCTGGACTTATATTGTATTGAAATAGATAATATATATTAAGTGGACTAATGATATCAGTCTATATAATGCTGACTTTAAATGCACAATTAACTAAGTTATCCGTCCTAAGCTGGAACATTGCGTCCCTCAAAAAAAGGTTCTCAGATTTACATCAGAAAGTAACAACTGAACACATCGATATTGTATGTGTCCAGGAGTGCAGAGTTCCCGCAAGATCCTCACCCCCGAAATTGCCCTCATTTGTTTCTTACAACCTCAGATCCTGTAACTCTTGCATTCTATACATCAAACAATCCCAACCCCATCAACTTCTGCCAGAAAAACAAACTGCCGGTCAACAGTATCATGGAGTGAGGATCTATGTGGGCAACTCTGTCCTCAATGTATTTAATCTATATGCTCCAGCAGGAAAGTTAAATTATATTGATCTTCCGGCCTGCGCTCAAGCAGAGCCAACCATCATTCTTGGTGACTACAATGCTAGACACAAGGACATTGGTGGCTCTCGCTTTAGTAACGGGAACGGGAATCAACTGCTGTCGCTACTAAATAGTCACCAAGATGTGCAGATTGTGGGTGACCTTGAACCCACGCATGTTTGTGGAGGCATTCTAGACCTCTGTGTTGGTTTCAACGTCTCTCACGTCTGGTGCACATCATCTATTGTAACAGATTTGTTGTCAGATCATCACCCTAGATTGACTACTCTATGTATAGGAAATACCATCCTGCCCGGTGGAACTTTTAAACGCAAACGGCTCAGTGTTCCTCCTGCTCGACGTGAAGACTTTGTTGCTCATGTGTCAGAGTGGTACAGCACTTATGATCCCTCCACAGTCCAGACATTTAACGACGGTCTAGTACAGAGCATTCAGATGTTTGCTGACCCTTTAGGTCGGCCCCCTGCACCATCCAATAGTCGCAACGATATGAAAGGTAATAAACGCCATGCCTATTACAATGACCCCAAACTGCGTACTTTGAAACGCACTGCCAGACGAGTTGGGCTTGCATATAGGGAAACACGTACGCCAGCAATGTTCAAGCTCTTTCAGAAAGCCCTAGCCAAGGCGAGGGAGCGCATGACAGAGCTCAGGCAAGATAACTGGGAAACTTTTGTTAACAGTCTCAACTCTCACACCCCCCTCAGCCAGGCATGGAAGGATATTAAAAGAATTAAAGGCGATAAGCTCGGCCAAGTAGCACACCCTCACCCTCTACACAGAGCAAACGAGTTAGTCGATGCTTGGGCAACCACCTCTAGCTTCAATAATCTTCCCCCAGACATACAGTTCAGATTAAATGCTGGTTACGGAGATCGAGAAAGGCTCGTTGACTTCATGCTCCACAAGGAAGATGAATGCAACGTGCCATTTACTGAGTTTGAATTACTCGCGGCCCTAAACAAAGGCAAAGCCACATCCCCCGGTGAAGATGGTATCACTTATGACATATTGCGTCTGCTCCCTTTAGTACCAGGGAATCCCCTGCTTGAGCTGTATAATATCAGCTATGTTACTGGGGAACTTCCTAACTCTTGGACCAACAGTATAATCATTCCAATTCCCAAGCCAAATCAAGAGAATGCTTTCCGCCCAACTTCCCTTACTAGCTGCATTTGCAAAACATTCGAGAGAATGGTCCTAAACCGTCTCCTCCATAGAATAAGAACCATGCTATCCCCCCAGATATATGGCTTCATGCATGGAAGGAGTGTGCATCATTGCATCACCACCTTTCTTACCCTGCACACTGAAAAGTCATATACCACCTTCCTAGATCTTAAGTCTGCCTTTGATATTGCAAATAGACATGTTATCTTGAGTG